CTACACACCAAAACATATAATAACATATATTTATTTAATCAACTGTATAGCATACATTAATTTCACTGGAAACTAGAGGAAACGTCTCGAACAAATCAAATATACTCATACGAAATAAACAGTGGGCTACATTTGACGCGAAAGCAAATGGTAAGGAAATTTCCAGGGAAAATTTTTCCAGAAAATCCAGACACTATGGGCGCTTTTAACCAAATCTCACGGTCTTGTCTGGAAATTCAAGAAAAGGCTGTTCTATTCACCACTGAATGTTTTCGGAAATTCAGACCGGAATCTTTGGCCAAATTGAAAGGGCCGTAACGAATTTACGAACTCAGTCAAATCTTTCGGAAATTTTAAAAATATCATTGAATGGAATGGAAATTTCCAGGAAGAAGAATTCGAAATTTTTGTGTGTATTAGGTGTGAAATTAGATAATGTGAAAGATATTTCTATTCTACAGGCCACTGCAGTCAACCAGAACATGATATTTCATGCGCCATTAGAAATTTTCGAAAATGCAAAGCAATATATTCAGTCGAATGGAAAGCGACCCATGCGTGAGGTTTAGAATTTAATGGAAAGAATAAAGGATAATCAAATGTTCGCAGTTATATTTCAACTTAAACCGATGAAAAGAGAGCTTAAGAAAATAGTTCTGTCTTCAGAGTCTTGAGGGGAAGCTGAACGCACAGTCCTTGTGATTTCCGTGCAAATGCTTTATCAGTGAGCTTAATTAGAGGACACTTGGAACTGGCCAATTTCGGGTTTTACTTCTATCCATGAATTAATGAATATGAGGTGATAGATGTATTTGGATTAACTTGAATGTGTGAACTGAACAATCATGCTTTAAGAGATGACTGACGAAGACGACTTCGAGAGCAATGAGACCGATTACTCTCGTCTCCGAATGTTCCAGGAAGTTAACAAATAGATTCCATGTTGCAGTGCGACTGTTCAGAAATTGATCACAGATGACGTCAAAATGGGCTAAGAACAAAAAAGTGGCGTTATGCGAGGCGTTAGGCGAGTGTGTCACTGATGCTTTGACCACATTTTCACATTTTCTGTACTCAGTTACTGAACAGACGCGCGGCAACATGGAATCTATCTGTTTTAAATAATAAAGTAACAAAAACAATTCAGCGTTAATGACGTCATCTATTCGTCTGTCCTCCAATATATTACAAGCAAGAACCAATCAAGATGCGAGAAAAATTGGATTGCATTTAGGTTACTATGAATGAAAACATGTATTTGAAGTTTTTACCTTTTGAGGTCCTTTAGTGTTTTTAGTTTGCTATGAATGAAAATATGTCTGAATTTTTTTTAATTTTGGCTTCACTACACAACCGAACACACTCAAAGGTCGAGGCATAATTGTGACTTTAAGCTTACCACATAGTGGATAAGAGATACATCAAAAAGCATCCTACATGCGGCAAAGCCGGACACGTAAACTCCTACCCTATTCTTTGAATGAAAAGTCTTCCCTTTTTGAGGTCATGCAAAGTTTTAAGATTTCTTTGAATTAAAATATTTCTTCAATTTAATTTAAAGTTTTTGGGGTTACTGACCCGGCTTTAGCCAGTTACCGTTATGTCATCGAGTGAGTAAAATGACTTGCTGGAAGCTTTCGGAGAAATCTCACGAAGTGAGACCGAAAACACCTCGAGATTTCAGTTCTTTTAATCGATTTTCACGTTTAAAACGCGAGTTTTAATGAAAATAACTGCTTCTACAGTTTATAACTGTAGTGAAAAAAATGCGAGTTTACAAACAGAAAGAGTTACGGGAACGGACATTACAGACTCGTTTTCTCACACTCTTGATTGCCGAAGGACAATTTTAGCCAACTCTAAATATCCCCCAGTAACACTTTAATTAAAAAAAGAAAAAAGGTGTACATGTTATTCGCAAAAAAACTTTTTAGAAGTCGGTTTCCTTCAAAGGAACTCTGGTAATAGGTACGTCAACACTTTCGTGAATTAATTTCTGTTATTGGAATTAATGACTACTTAAATATTAAAATTTTGAAAAAGGGCAGCCAGTAAGACAGCCTTTCTTCTACAACAAGCCAGCCTGAGTTGCTGTTTGATAGAGATTGCACAACATTCTTTGTTTGAATTTTTCTGTTCATTTCTATAACTTTAATATCTTAATTTAATTCTGTGAAAACAATTCTTGTAATTTTTATATTGCTCTCGTTGTTTTGGTTTGGCTGGACTCCCTTGGAATCATAAAGAAAATGTAAAGCGCCATAGACAATTAATGGATTTGGCGCTATACAAATATCATTTATTTTTTTTTATTTAAAATGAAAAAGATTTCGACGCTGTCATTCGATCGAAGGAAAATATATGGTAATGGTTGTCGAGCGCAAGCGTAGTACTGCTTAGTGTGGACTGCGCAAGCCCTTACTTAAGTCTGGCTTTCGTGACAGTGTCAGTTTGACTCGCTTGATTGACAGTTTCTACCAGGTCACCATAAAAGAGCGAGAGCAGAATATCAGGTTCAGAAGCGTAAGAGTTGTAAGAGATAACGTTGCTGTATAATTAATAAAGAAGAATGATA